GCGGTAGGAGGGTAGCACACAGCTGGCACCTCCCCCCCCCTATCGTGCCACACCCTATCGGCAGTCTGCTGCTGATCGCTGATGAACGCTGGTAGACGCTGGCAGGGCAGGTCGCTGACGCTGCCGAACGCTCGGAACGCTGGTGGACGTTGCCGCAAAGTATGAACGCAGCCTTACTTGCCGCTTCTTTCGTAGCCATAAAATGTCAAGAGACCGGTGGATTCTATAAAGACTGCCCAGCCTCAGCATTCCAAACAACATATTATGGGATAAACAGCCATAAAGGCTCGAAACTCGTTTCGGACACCTTGGAACATTGTTCGGGAAAGTAGGGGCAGGGGACTTCTTGCATCGGAGCAGATAGCCAGGACAGCAGGCTCACACAGAACGCGTAGCTGTTCAGTTTATATTCGAGAGCCGCAAATAAAGGGTGGCTTAGATGTATGGGCGCATTCTGGCCGCATTCTCTATTCAAATCAATTGAATAGCATGTCATGTGTGGCGTTTTCGAGCATTTTTATGCACTCTTTAGTGGTATCTTATTTTTATGATGTTTTTGGGGGCGTGGGAGGGGATGTAGTGGCAAGCGGTACGCTTATCACGCACACATTCCGCGGATCGAGTGGTGGATCGGCTTCCGCCCAGCTCAACCAAGAACAAAGGTCTTCCAGTAGTTTTGGCTTATACCCACCTATTTCCAAGTGTGGAGCTTTCTAGATAGGGAGCCGAAGAACAAAAACACCTCTGGGCACTCTCCAACCTTGAGATGCTATTTCTCCCCTGATTTGGAGGTGTGCTACTGGCGGCTGCTCGTCGATCCCGTCATTTCGATTCGAAAACCTTTGTCGTAGTTAAAAGCGGATACCGCGGACTTTGCCGGCGAATACTGTTTTTTGGACCCTTAGTGGATCCCATAGGGAATTCGTCACAAAAAGTGCGCACTTCCGAGAGAGAAGCATTTCATAAGTGTCCCGTGCTTCTCTGTCAGCCTGGACGCTGTCCAGGTCCTATAGTTGCCATGCATCAGCAATGCGCCTGGCTCGTTGCCCACATGACGGAGACTTTTTATGGCTTCCCCTTACTAGTGCACTTTCAGCGGGGCCAAAGCCGTTGCTATGTCGCTGTCCACAAAAGATTTGCAATTTATTTGACCCTTGGTAATAACTAACTTAGATTCTTGCGTATGTGTTCTTGAGCGATATGATAGACTAATCGAATGTGCAAGACGAGTATGGTTCACGCTTAGATCCCAACATGGAGGCGGCGCTGTGCGCCGACTGCATTCACCCTGTCAGCTCGTACTGTTGTGCCGCTAGTGGGTAGTGACGCCCCTTTGCTAGAGATGGCCATCACTCGGCTCCAGTCGCTAATATTTTGCGAGAGTGAATAGGAGAGAAGAAGGATATCAGACGATGTGGTTAGGGGATGTAGGTTAGCAAGGTCTGCAGTGCTGTCGCAGAATAATAGCGCTGCTAATTAGTGCATCGCGTTCTCCTAAAACTTCTCTTTCACTTCGCTGATTCTCTCAGAAGAGAAGTTCATCAGATTCTCGAAAACGCTGGGGGAATACCCATCCATGCTTTGGCGCGTATTCTCTCAAAACGCGGATTCCGGCGATTCTCCTCCGCAAGTGAACGCAGCATCGGAGGCGCTCTCAGGTTTAGCGGAATGATGCCCACATCCAGTGCTGTCAAAGGCATAGGGCACGATGATTTGGTATTCGGTCTAAAATGGTAGCATGGGTGCTATACAGGGGGGGGGCAAAAAAAGTCATTCCGGCCGAGTCACATATGAGCGAAGTTTTCGCAGCCCGGACAGAGGAAGTGGATATGAGTACCAGGGCGGAAGATACCCAAGATCTTCATCTATAGCAGGAGCCGGCTGCCGCGATTCACCTTCATGTACACCAAAATATGAAGTCATCTCCAGTCGCGGCCTGAGTGGAGAACGCCTTTGAATTCACGTGGCCTCCAAACAGCTGCGGAACTTCTTGGATGGAATCACCCATGGATAGCCACCTGGAGACCAGTACTCTTTGTTCTGCAACACCTCAAACATCGAGCAGCTCCGGCAACGTCGCTACGGTCCAGGACATCATCTTCATCCATTCACCAAGGCGCGGATTGATGGTGTGGACCGGCCGTACCTGGAATGGGAAGACCGATATTTTCTTTGTAGACCCCGACTTAAGGTGAGCGCTGGCGGTAACACCAAGTAACTCGAGAAGGATATCCTCCCTTACATGTGGTCGCCCGTACCTTCTTGGAGAACTTGTACTGCTACAGGTTTGGGTGCCACCACATGGAATCGAAGGGTTTTGGAAAAACTCCCGCCTACTTCGAATGGAAGGGCGTTTCGTACCTGATGAAGATGTAATATTGAAATATGTCCCTTGACCTGAACCCACTCAATTACCTAGTTCGGGCGGAGCTCAACAGGGTGGTCTACAGTGGCAGAGAAATCAAACGATCTCGCTCAACTCCGTACCCACTCACTTTCGCCGCGGTCGAATCTCTCCGATGGCGCTCCTCTAGAAGGCTGTGGCGGAGTATCATTATAGTATTTAATGTGCTCTTTAATATGGTTGTGAAAATGTCCGATAAAAATTTGATAAAGTGTAACTTATAGCGCCTTGAAAGTCATGGAGGCAAAATGACTTTTTTTGCCCCCCCCCCTGTATAGTGGGGAAGATAGCGAAAAAGCGAAGTGAAACGGTTTAAAAAATCCTTAAAAACCTTTGTTCAGCACGACTCAGAAAGCACTTTCGGACGAGTTTCCCATTAGGGTCGGGACAACCGCTACGGTGGATATGGCTGCATGTATGCACCCATCCATATGCCCATGCAGCACCGCAGCCGCTTCATACCACTCTTTTCTCTTCATATTGTACTTTGCAAATTAAGCGATAGGAGCATCAGCGTCGGTCGGACATTTGTGGGCGTGCGGGCGCGGTGGGCGTCCGGGTCGGTGTGCTGCAGATTAATAGGGCGCTATAAGGCTATCTTCCTTGGAAAAGGTGCCACGCTGCGCCTGCGATGCAAGCTTTTGTCTAGGCTTATATGCAGGCTGATTGTTGAACGCTCACACAGAACATACCATCAACGCATGCATGAGTACGCTTGGCTGAAGACAGAAGGTATAAATCAACTTAGCGCAGCAGAGAAAGGGTGTCCATCCTTCGAACCCACCTGCGTCTCAGGGCTAGACATGGTGAATTTTGGTTCACAACTAACCTCCTATTCCTCATCTTGGGTCGCGCCAGGTACCCTCACTAATCTGCAGGTAGAATCCCTTTGCAAGGTAAGGTAGGACTTAACGTAAAATGAGGCTGTGGTCATTTTCGGATAGAAAAGCTAAATGTCTGCTATTTTTCGGAATAGAAACATTTTGCCAGTTCTGTCTCAAAAACATTTCTTGGATCGAAAATTAGCAGGAAAATCATTTCCTAATTATTGTTCCATATTCTGTTGATTAGAAATTCTGGGTCATTGTCAACTAAACCACCCACTCGGTTGTTTTCTATTGAAACCAACTGCTATTGCGTCAATCTGGCAACGCCCACATGCATTCATACATCTACTTCTTACGACAAGTTGTCAAGAAAACAGATGTTGCCCTAGGAAACCTTTGTCATTGCAATTTCATGCCTGCGGATGCGAAAAATACGCTCATGATTCATCGTTCTCTACGAATGCTTTGCTCTCATTGCTCCTTGTCAAGTCCTTGATGACGATTACTCTTCTTCATGGACTTATTTGATAGGAACTTGTAATAGCATTCGAAGCAATTTGGTAGATTTCATAGAAATTGTTATAAAGTTTATTGACTGGTCTACCAATGAAGAATCTCTATCATTTCGCTACGCTTGATTTTCTTTAGCATGCTGCCCCAAGGAGGTATGTCCATATCTAGGAGCTGAGGAGGGCGTGCCCAAAGCTTGGCTGTGAGCATAGCGCGCTAAGCCGGTCAAGTCAGAGATGCATACAGGATGCCTCCCCCCCCCCTCCCCATAATAGAGCGCGGTCGGCACTAGGGGAAGTCGATACACCTCTCACTCTCTCTCTGCCTTTCCACAGATCGCTGCACCGCTCCCCTATTATGTACGCGGACACGCCCTCCCCATTTCTGGTATATGGAGTGGACCCGTCCACATGTACGCAGGCGTTGCGACTACTTTAGAAGGAGATGCGCCGTGGATCGACTAAGTACGTTCGTCTGTGCCAAGAGCAGGGCTAAATTCCTGGTCGTCTGAGAACGCCCACGCTAACTCTGGTCGCCTGCGTTTTTCTAAGAGTAAGTTCGAGGGGAGAGATCAATGTCTCGCGCAGACCGCATACCCTCCTCCAGCTTGGGAAGCAGAGATCGCTATGTCCCTGGCGTCAAGTAGCGGACCGAGTCGCATCGCATACCCTTCCCTATACCACTAGTTGAAATAGATCGCTAAGTCCCTGTTGTTCACGCTTCGCGACGCGGGTGATTCAGACGCACGGCGGCGACCAATCGCGCCCCACGGCTAGTCGTTGGACTGCTGCTATGTTCGAAAGAAGTTCTATGTTGTGTGACACTATTAACAATTGCAATGGTCAGGCGGACAGGGGGCCGTTCTTGGTCGTAGTGCGCGATACCCGAATTCTGCAACCGGATCTTTCGAATCACGAAGTATAGACGCAAACTAATTTATGGTAGCGATGTAGTTAGAAGCCTTCAGACTCGCGATGGCAGCGCTTCGGTCGTTTGACGTTTGACGCGATCGATGCAGTTGAAAGCATGCGCATCGATCGAAGGCGCGACCGAAGCGCTGCCGTCGCAAAGTCTGAACGCTGCTTTACCAGTGAGAACAGAAGACGTTTTCGAGACATTGCGCTCTAATTTTGTACGCGCCACGCACACGCAGTATAACCACGTGTGCTGTATCACTTCTATCCGAGTTGGATGTCCGTATCACAAGCTCTGAACGCCGTCTATTGTCGAATGGAAAATGAATAATAACTGACATTCAGATGAGCTTTTCACATGCTGTCGTGGTAGGCGTTCCAAGGAATTTGAAATTTGCTAATAAGAAGTCCGCCATCGATATTGACTCATTGAAGAAACAAAGCGAAGGATTGGTGGAGACATTACGCGAAGCTGGTAACTCGTATCTTTTACAAAAGTAGAACTCGGTATTGAAATTAACAATTGGACTGAATACGATATAGGTGTTGGTGTGAATGAGTATCACCTACCGGATGATTCCTCCGTCTCGACGCTGTTCGTTGGCGATGCTGCCATAGCAATCAATGGAACTACTCTCTTATGCCGGCCAAAGAAACCTGGGATTTCGCACGCCGAGGTCATCATTGTTTGAGTAATTGGATTGATGTACTCTTTTAATACTCCTATGTATGCAATTACTGTTCGGCCAGTAGAAAGGCTGTCTCAAGTAGAAAGGCTACAGTACAAAGAAAAACCAGAACAAGCCATTAATCGCGTTTTTTTAATTAAATTCGAAGTTTTTATTCAACTCAACTTGTGCAGGTGACATTGTGACGAGTGGCCCCCTCAGCGCGGCACGGGCTTAAACTCTAGATCGGCTCCCATCGAGGCCGACCAAGCCCTCTATATGGGAACGGTAATTTGCTGCCAGGTTGGTTTGCGTGGGTAAAATGACTGACTTGCACATCGGCTGGCCTCCGCAAATCATTGTATGGGCAACATCAATGAGTCGCTACGACTCTTGAATGGAGGTAGAAGGCGTACCGCATCCTACAAAGGTGCTACAGTACAAAGAAAGAAACCAGAACAAGCCATGAGCCGCGTTTTTTTCCCATTAAATTCAAAGTTTTTATTCAACTCAACTTGTGCAGGTGACATTGAGACGATGGAAGGCTGAAGCTTCATACTTTTATCCTTTTAACTCAGCTAGCAAGCGCGTAATAGACAACAACAGCTCAAAACCTCGTATTTGCTTGGGTGGCCATTAGGCTTGACTACATCCTCCTCTTATCTTCCGCTTCCATCTTGGGCGACATCGGCATCACAAGAGTGCACATCACGACGATGGGGAAAACACCGGTGTTATTCGACTCGCTTTGGAATAGGGTTTCGGGGACCATTATTTTTCTTTTCAGCATAAACGGTTATAGATTTCGCGCTTCGTTACTTCCACGTATACTTAGACCGCCAATTAGCGTGCAGGGGGTACAAGGCTGCGTTCATACTTCGCGACAGCGTTGATCAGCGAACAATAGCGTCCACCAGCGTCCCGAGCGTTCGGCAGCGTCAGCGGCTAGGAAGTATCGTTCCAGCGTCTGCTAGCATTTACCAGCGTCCGCCAGCGTGTAGCAGGGTCCCGCCTAGCGTCACGAGGGCTAGGGAAGTACAAATATTGATCTGGCATCTGCCGGCGTGCGCCAGCCGTCGGGGAGTAGTAGAGAGTATGGGGCGATAAGAAGGTAGCAGACAGCTGATAGAGTACGGGGAGATATGAAGGTAGCAGACGGCTAGTGGAGAATATGGCGCGATAGGTGGGTAGCAGAGCGCTGGAGGATGCTGGCAGACGCTAGACCGATACCTGTACTTCCCTAGTTGCTGATGCTGTCGGACGCTCGGAAGCTGCTGGGCGTTATTGGTCGATCGGACGGACGCTGCCGCGCGGTATGAACGGAGTCTGAGACAATTTGTACAGTCAGATACGAGGAGAGTCATTGCCACGTGCGAGGTAAATGGGCCCTTTGTTGCAGCAGTGTGCTACATTTTCCGCTCAAAAGTGCACCGAAGTGGGACTGCAGGGTAGCGACAACCGACTCCGACTTCCCCTCGCTGCCGCAAGCCTGACCATAGCCAACGCGCTACTTGTCTGCGTTCTCTCACTTTTGGTTGTTCTCCTCCACTTTTATTCGGGAGTTTGCTACTGTGCTGCACCCTGAGGATACGCGGACGGAGTCGGGAGACGAAAACTCTGTATCACTGTCCTGCAGTCCTGTTCCCGCGCACTTTTGAGGCGGAGAAAATAGTACGCTACTGCAACTGCCCCATGAACTTCGCACAATGACCGTCATTGGAGGTTGGTGAACAGTTTGACTCCAAAGCATTTTTATTCGAAATAGATCACTCACACAGAGAAGAACTCACAAAAACACGCTCCGAGGCGAAAGTGCTTGCCATGCACCGGTGTAAATCACAGCCCAGAAAATAGGGCGTATCGTGCCCTGCCGACTTTTGAGCCGGGCTTACCACATGGAAAATGCTTGGCATCTTGTTGCGAGGTCATCATATGAAGCCCTTTTGCTTAACAGTCATAGTGTCCAGTCCATGTCTTGTTTCTACGGCTTGGATTTTTAGTTACGGCGTATCCTGCCATCATGTTGCCATGACGTGCAAGAGTGTCCAGAAACTGTCGACGGTAAACCCGTTGTTCTCGAAGGCGGAGATGTATTTTTCACTGGTAAAGAGATCTTTGTTGGGGTTCGAAAACAAGGCACGAACTTCGAAGGTGCCAAAGTGAGTTTTTATAGTTAAGGCTGGTCCTTTGTATTCAAAATTCAAATTACAATTTCATCCGCTACGCATGATGGGGCGTGTTAGGAGGAGTGGGTTTGGCCGGCGTCATACCTGTTTTTTTTCCAGCATTTATTGGAGCGAGCAAGCGACAAAGCTGTATCACAGCGTTCGTATCGATAGTTGTCCACCAATTGTTACCGCTTTCTAGCTTCAACAATGGTCGAGATCGATCTAGCGGCGCGCGCAATCCCGCCTCACTGCACGCCCCATCATCCGCAGCGAACAGGGCTGCGCCCAAGAACAAATAAAGTTTTTGCCCAATAAATTCATTAAGGCAGTCGCACGAGTGTTTTGTGATCATGCTGTAATTCCAATACACATGTCAGACAAGGCCCAATGTCTCAGGTATTATGTCGCTATTGCAGCACCTGGTATACTTGCCATCGGAACTAGTAAAGAAGCTCAAAATATCTTAAAGGTGAGCTTAGAGCTGCTCTCAATTGTTGGTTTCAGCGATTTCGTCATGAAAAGAGATCTCCTGTTACAGGTTCTTGAAGCAGAAGCTATGCTCAGATATAGGATCATTCCAGTTGAAGATGATGAAGGAGTTAATTGTATTCTAGTGAATAAACGCCTCATATTTCAACGGGATAAAACGGCAGCTGTGCGTTTTTGTGAACTTTTTATATTATTTATGACTATTTTTATTGGATTTTTTATAAAAGTGTCATAACAGTAAATAGAACCTTTTGCAGAAATTCACTCCGTTGCAATCGAATGGCCTTGAATTATGGACAGTGGATGCCGGAGATCTGCTCAAGGTATATTGATGCGTGGGTCAAATTGCCACTGATTAAAATCGATATCCTGGAGGTGGAGAGGGCGTGGCTGCGCCTGTCATTTGAACATGGCTGCTTTCTGGGGCGATGTAGCCATTTTGGGATATTCAAAACCATGTCTTTGATCTATACCATACAGCATGACAAGTGTGGCAAATGCAAATGTCCCACAAAAAAAGAAGCTCACGCCATATTAAAATGAAGTACGCAGACACGCCTCCTTACCCCACTAAACCACCATATGAAGTCTAGATACATTTTATATTACGAAACCAGTCAAGCTTGCTACATACATCTCCCTTATGAACACATCTTCAAAAGACCAGCGAACATTCTGAGCGATGGCCCTTCAAATCAGCCGAACGGGTTGTCGACGATTTCCTCAGAAGATGCGGTTTCACTAACAAACGTGTGTTTATTTAATGCGCACTGTCAGTCAAAGACAAGCTGTACACTTACCTCCGTGATTCCTGGTCCTCGCCATGTGAGAGGTGAAAGGGTCCGCACCCGCGATAGTGCGGACCTTTCTTCTATCAATAGTGCGGGAATGGGGTTAGAGGGTAGCGATACCTGGGTGCCGTCTTCCGAGTTCGCCGCGCTGCCGCAGTTCCAGCATAGCCAAACGCGCCGGTTGTCTGCTTTCTCTCACCTCTTGTTGTTATCCACCTCTGACGCCGTGTTTACAGCGGGACTGCGATATCGACGCAAATACTGCAGCTTGAAGGAAGCGCGGGCGGAGTATAGAAACGGCACGCAAATATGACTGCCCTCCAAGGCCCGTTCCAATGCAGTTTTGAGCAGAGAAAGTGGCACGCTACTGCAGCTGCGCACCCACTCGCTTCGCACCTGGCAAGGCCCATCTTTGAAGATGAATGTACTGTTTTTCTTTAAGGACCACGAACACCAAATCCAAGAAACCGAAACAACTGGGGTAGTCTGCATATACTACCAGCCACGCGCAGTAGTCTGAACATACTGTCTCTATACAGTCGACTGCACGCTCTCAGTGGTCCACCAGGCGACTGATTAACTGAACTGAATGCTGCCTTCAAAAAAAAAACTGAAGTCTGACTTCCTCAGCGTGGTAGGATGTAAACGTTGAGGACCGGTAAGGTTACCACACAAACTCTTCAAGTGATCCAGATGAACGGAAATCCACCGGTTGCAGTTCAGAGCCTACTAGAGCCAGCGAAAAAGACGAAGCTGACTGAGCAGCATCCAAGGCCACACAGAAAGGATCTGGTGGACCACAGTGAACTTGCGCTCGATTGCAACGATACTGTATTTGCAGTTCACCTGTTAGCCAGTTTTCTGCACGGCGTGCGAAAGATAGCTGTCGAATAAAACTGGGCGCTATCATACTCAGAGGGGGCACTTGATGACACTGGACCGTAGCGGCTGAGGTGATTCCCGCTCTTCTAAGTCCACGAATACAGTCGTCATCCGGGCAGTTGATTAGGCGGCCAGAGAGTCTCGACGCGGCTGCGGCTCGTCACGACCGCAGCGATCAACTGTTTCCAGCCTGGTTTAGCCATGTTCTCTCCAACTTTCACTGTGTTTTCATTTCTTTTTTCAAGGCAGGTTGTGTTATTGGCTTCATGAAGTGTATTGAGACGTGGATTCCTTTTTTCTTTTTGTATCAAAGTGTTTCGCTATTCTTTTAGGTATTTGTTTGTTTATAGTGAAGACAAGGACAACTAACCTCAAGAAAAGCAGCCAAAAACAGTGAAAATTAGGGAGAAAATGACTAAAATAGGCTGGAAACAGCTGATCGCCGCGCTCGTGACACGGCAACCGCGTCGCGACCCTTTGGCCGCCCAATCAAGTGCCCGGATGACGACTGCATATCATCACCTGCGTGAGAGAAAAAGCGCCGACAATCATGGTCGTCGCGGTCGCCCTGCTGTCCAACATGGTCCCTCCTACTACTATAGAGCCAATGATTTTCAAAAGGTTGAAGATAGGGACAACTATAAAAAGGCGCTCATAAAATGATTCTCATTCGGTACTTTAGCAAATAAGGGAATACTTCGCCCCTTTGACCTAGCTTTAGTAACCTAGATTTAGCCTCTCTTTCTCATTATTCATTTGTTTGTTATAATATTTCATACTATTTATTTTGTTCCAAATTTTATACTACGATTTGCAGGCCGGTTCGCCGTTGGCGCGTCACTGCCTTCTTGTTGTGGAGAAGAAACCGTCCAGAGAAACGCATTCATGATAAAGATATCAGGCATTCCCTTAGTGGATTGGAGAAGAGAAGGAAAGCATAACCAATTGACGCTTACCTCATTAAATGTATAGCTATCAAGAATTCAGCGATCTCTTCTGCTTTACATTAATTGGTTCTAGTGCCTTTTCAACAAGTACTCTCTAGTTCGGACGGTTGGGCGTGTCAGCCAGTATGAGTGTGTCACCCTAACGGAGCCGTTCTCTGCCTTCTTGTGAAAAGCGCATGCGACAAAAAGTGGTAGAAAGAAAGTAATACGGAGCATTGATACAGTATTATCACTTGCCCGCTTCAACAGCTGGTGTAGAACGATTTTGGCACCGCGCCAAACGACTGACACGCCCAACCGTCCGCAGCGAACTACAGTATAGTTGTAGTAGTAGCTTGCAAGTCAGCTACGACGTAATAATGAGGCCATCAATCACATGAATTCACAAAATTGTGGGCCTAAGAGGCACGCCTCTCGTTCGCTTCGGCGTCTTTCTCGAACAGGGTGGTCCTGTCACAAGCATGGAGCTTGTATTACTTTTGCAGCTGAAAAATATCTAGGGAAAGCGCGACCCGCTCGCGACAAGGCTGTGGCTCCGCCCACTTGCCACGACAATGCCCAATTTTCATTTTTAATGTCACCTAACGGTGCGGTTGTTCCGCTACTGACTCTCTCCATTTCGAGTAGTGAGAGTGAGGTGATAAGGAGAAAGAGGCGGCACCAGCAAGTGAGAACTCGTCCGATCATACCCTTTCTTCGCGTTATGCATACACAAGCGCGGTTCAGCGTGGGGTCATGTGTGAGACATTTCGGTCCGGTTTTTTCTGCCTTTTTCCCCACTTTTGGGTTATTCTCAATCTTGCCATTGGTATTTGAGCCGCACACGTCACCGTTTTTGAACCGGGGTGTGCCTTTAACATTGCACCCAATCCTATCGAAATAAGGTACTGTAAGAATGATTGCAGAACTGGTGGTAATTAAACACATCAGAGTTGCTTAAACGCGGCTAATTGGCAGAGTATTTCCTACTAGTTGTCTTGACACGCAGCAGCACTGCCATGTCAAACCAAATAGGTCCTGGCGCGAATGCGATGCGTGGGATGTCATTTGCAACGATTCGCCACTCTCACTGCAACTCAGAGGTTTCGAGTCACACCGTGGCAACTTGTGTGAAAATCACTTTTGTAGGCAGTAGTTTCTCTAGGCTTAATGAACTACCTTGCTTTGGTTAAAGACAGTCCCCATGCCCAACAAATTCCTAGGCGTCATCCCTTATGCAAGTGGTCTGGTCCTCAATTTCTTCGATTAACCCACTTTCGCGGCCTTACAGTAGCAAAAGCGCTGCGACGTCCATAGGCATCCAGATTTGAGGTCCTCCTAGTTGTCCCGCCCACCAGAACTCAAAGGCTATTTTCTATCGCGAATCCACTTTTTCCACCGCGTTTTTTTTACTGTTAGATAATATCAGCCAGAGGCGGCAGGATAGGGTCGCCTTGCTGGCCTAAAACATACAGGTTCAGAAAACTCGTGCAGCGGGGTCTTCAGTGGTCCTAGGGGGGGGTTTCATCATTTCTTTTTGACTGTTTTCCTTTCCTAGACTCACTGAGCGACTACAGGTTTGTGTTCTAACGGCCTATTCACAATGTGCAAATGGGGGAGAGGTCTCTTTCAATGACAGAGATCGCACTCAGGTCTGCACCGAATTACTCCTTTATCTTCACTCTAAACTACTGTCTTGACCCTCCACTACCTGTAAACTGATTAATCGATGCCCTGTATGATTCAGCAGCTGCAGACATCCCCTTCATGCACGCGCTGCCCTCAAATAGGGATTTGCAGCGCAAGTGCTCAATGCCAATAACTGCACGTGAAACGCAATCTAGCACCAATATGCGGCCCAGCCCAATGTTGGAACAGCGGTCATGCTCTGCTTCGCGTCGAAATTTGCGATGCAACCCCCATTCCCATCATTCTTCACGCGCCTATCCTATTTCAAAACTGTTCGATACCCTCGTAGTTCTGCCTGAAGAACCATGAACGCTCCAAAGTAAGTTAGGTTGGCGGGAAAGTTTTGTCACTCTTTTCTGAACTCAAATTACTTGCCCATTACCAAGAGTGGTAACCGGTAATGTAAGCTCTTATACAACAAGGAGTGGTTTCTCTGTTAGTACCACTCGCTTGCCTCTTGCTCCTTCTTCTGCAATATGCACAAGGATTTTATCCGCTACCGTCAGCCCCGACCCATCCAACAACTTCCACAAACTATTTCACCCACCACCCTGACGCCAGCGTGTTAGCTGCAGATGCCAAATTGATGGAGCTGAATAAGCACGATGCCCCCAATCGTAGAGCAACCTTATCACAACAGTGACGCTTCAAGGCGGGAGCCTAGGGAGCCCAGTTTTGATGACGAATAAAGTTTGGGTTACCTGCAACCTCAGCTTGAGGGGGCTGGGTTGGGAAACTGCTGGATGAAGAAGCTGGTTCCTCGGTCAAGGCGCACGCAAAGCAGCTACGAGATCTAAGGCGTATCGTGAATCAAAGGGATAAATTTGTCCGCACAGCCGGCCCTCACCAAGATAGTGCAACGTGTTTGGTCCAAAAAAGTTCGAGCCGTACCTCATGCAATGGAGCTTGATCTCTCTCCCCTTGCAATTGTGTAGCACAGGCATCGCCCCTTCTAATAGCAAGTTGCCTTCCGTAATCGATCGTTATGCGGACGAGGAAACCTCCATAACCCGAATTCAAGTCGAGGTTGAGATGGTGTCCAACTTTGCGTCATGTCTCCCTGCACAGTGAAGAAATGGCATCCATGAGGTGCTCAAACACTGGCAAGGACCCCGCAGTAACATTGCTGTACAATTTTGATCTTACACTCCTCTCTATAAAAATAAAGCCTAGTTTTAGTTTGAAAAAATGTGACAGAACTTTCCCGCCAACCTTATACAAGGTTATATACTGTAGTTCGCTGCGGACGGTTGGGCGTGTCAGTGCGGCTGAGTTTGACGCGGTGCCAAATTCGTTCTCCACCTCTTTTTAAAGCGGGCAAGTGACAATACTGTATCACATCGTTCGTATTAGTAGTTTTATTACTAGTTTTCTACCACATTTTATCGCATGCGCGTTTCAACAAGACCGCAGAGAAAGGCTCTGAAGGTGTGAACATGGTGGCTGACACGCCCAACCGTGCACAGTGACCTAGTGTGCAAGTTCAATGACAGAGGCGACATACAGTACCCCGAAAAAAAATGTGCGTGGAAGTAAAATGTGGTGACTCCGAATGCACACAATTGGGCACACCGTAAAGCGGTTTAAATAACCAGGTTTATCAGCCCGTGTTACACGTCTTACGCACTACAGTTCGGGGTATATTGGGATCCTAAATGTATACCTAAGTTTCAGAACTTGCAAGGATCTGTAATAGAACCAATGTAAAACTACTAGAAACGTAATAAATATATCTTACCGCACTATTAAGCCTCACTTCATAACAGCAGAAAGTGTTGCATTACACAACCTCACTAATATTATGAACAAACAAACATATATGTGATTGAAGGACAAAGTGAACAAAACGAAACAACTCCGATCGCCCAAGCGACAAATGCGAGGCATCAAAGAATGTATGTAAACGAAATATAGCAAACCTAGTCAGTAAGGGTACCAGACACGGCGACTTGTAACGATACTAAAATGAGATGAACACCTGTATGATACTGTATTTATAAATAAATAGACAGCTTCGAGCTCAAGGAAATAGAAGAACACAAAGAGAAGTACACATCGCATTTTTTTCACAGCCTAAGAAACTGACGGCTGATTAACTTGAGGACTCCATGCCGGATCTCCGGCAGCCATCATCGTTCCTCGATCCGCCTAAAACAAGATATTTTACTATGAGACGAGTACAACATTATGAATTTGGCAGAACAATGAAGAAGCTTTCACCCATAACACATCATTTTTGAGAAATCTTTCCAAGAAATTCGTGTTGACAAGGTAGGGAAGCAGTTTGAAATGACCCTTCGAAATTATAACCTTGTTCGCTGCGGGTGATAAGGCGTTTCGGCAGGGTTACATTTGGCGCGGCGCCAACCAGCTTTCTTCCTTTTATTCTTTTGGCAAGCGACAAAACTGTATCATCTGGCTCGTATCAGTCGTTTTCACCAGTTTTTGTCACTTATGTTTTTGTCACTCTCCAACGACTTCTGGAGACGGGGTTTAACGGTGCGCCAAACGCAGCCAACGCCGCGCTTCTGGGCGCTCATTACGGGCCTGACCCACCGTAGGGGTTGCTGCGGACACGCCCTATGGTTCGCAGCGAGCCAGACTGTAGATGATCCCGACTGCTGTGCTTCTGGGAGGTGATTATGGGCTTGGCTCGCATACAATAAATACGATTTCCGGGTGCTAAGCTGCTTTGAGTGTGACAGCTGAGTTACCCCAAGACCTGTAGGATTGATAGCAGAATAGAAGTCGGCGCCTCTGAGCAGGCGCTTCGTAGAACCTTCCCCAAGTAGGGTATCCTTATAGCGCCCTATCAAGCTGAAACATACCGACCCGGACGCCCACTGCGCCCGCCAGCCCCAAATGTCCAACCGATGCTGATGCTTGCGGGTATATGACAAGAGACCGTATCACAGCGCTGGTGAGCCTCGCGTGTAATTTCTCGCCCTCAAATAATGATATAAATGAAATAACAATAAATAAATATGGCTCCAGGTAGTGGATAGCGACAATAGGCGATTCAGAACCGAAAATAGCCATGAATGTCTACGATGACGGTGTATACATGAAGTTCGGTGCTCCAATCGACAGGCTAACACGAGTTAAGATATCGCCGCGTTCATCGTCGCGCGCGGCGGAGCGGCAAATTGCGATTCTCTTGCCCTTCTTCCGATGCTTGCATCACTTCATTTGCGAAGTACAGTATGAAGCGAAGGGAATGATATGAAGTGGCTGCGGTGTTACAAGGATATATGAGTACACACATGCACCCGTAACCAGCGTAGCGGACTGGCACGACCAACGGGGAACTCGTCCAAAATTGCTCTCCGAGTCGTGCACAACAGAGGCTTTTTTGCGGTTTTTGACAGTTTCAATTAGCTATTTCGCTAACACTACACAGCACCCCAGCCTTCATTTTAGACCGAGTACGAAGTTGTCGTGCCTTGTGCCTTTCTAGGTATGTTCCCCTAAAACCCTGTAACTTTCTTCGGAAGAGGTCTGCAGCAGATACGGAAGATAAATTTGCAATCACCTCCAAAGACAAATCAATCGATACGCATTTCGTTTCAAACCGCTTTTTGACCTACTATCCTTTTTTGGTGCGATCCTCTTTTGGAGGAGAACATACTGAGTTGCCATGTGAGCAAAGCGTCTAACAGTTCAAGACTTACCTTTTTCCCTAGAGCCATGAATCCATAGATAGTGCCACAAGCGAAGATCATGCCCGAACCAAGGAAAGTATTTAGTTCAAAGCACATAACAATGGGTATAATACCCATCCTGAAACATAAAATGCAAATATGTTCCTTAGAAACACCTCAGTAGAGTATTTTCAAAAGAATTTCAGCAGAGAACTTCCGAAATGTTGACTTACTCCGCAACCGTACTCAAAAATAGCGTGACAAAAATTGGTATTTGGAAAAGGTAACGACTTACGTCCCATAAAGAATTGCTTTGTGCCAGTGCTTTCGTGACTCACTGAACTGTGCAATCTTTTCGATGAAATCTACGAACATACAACAGAAAGGAGCCTCTAATGCAATTGTTAGGAAGCCAAATACCCTGAAAACTCAAAATAAAACCGAAATCAAAAAGGCATCCACTGAGTAGGCTACAAATGTTACGATATGAAACTTACATTTGCAGTAACACAGCAATAACGCAGGTAGGCGTTAGAGACAGCAGACCGAGTGCTCCAAAGAAGATCCCCACAAAACCGCCAACAATTCCCACTCCTTTCGCCAAGAAACGTACCCACCTGAATTTGGCACTATCTCAAAGGAAATCATGAGTATACGTTGAAATCTTTTGAAAGAAAAATCACAAGGTATGCATACGATATAAAAGCCTAGTCGCAAATGGTCTGAATGAAATTTTAACATGAATTTTCGGACCCCATCCTTAACGGTATGGAAGAAAACCGTTCTTTAATCGAGCGGAATGCATGGCTCCCCAATACCATCGCTTCCATTGTGCTTTAGTAGTTAGTGGTAAACCAGTAACATCCTAACGTGCCTCCATCTGAGTCCAATGTTCTCCGCCATAATAGTATAGAACTTCAAAAAGGGAGATGTACTTGAATGCATTAACCAGTAACCGATTTTCTTGAAGCCTCGGTAACTTTATATTTTTCTATTTTCTAGTATCATAGTGGAAGGTATATTTGGGTTAAAGATAAAGCCATTCGCACGCTTTTGTGTCATCAAAAGAATGGTTTTGTCAAAATGTCGGACAATAAACAGTTCCCTTACTAAACCTTCTGTGGCATAGGAAAACAGATAACTTCAAGCCACACGTACCGCGTGGTGCACCATGTGCACCACGCTTATTCGTCTTTGTATGGCTGCGTGCTGCACACAGTGCGGCATGATCATTCTCCCGCTTTACCTAAATATTTGGCATTCGCCAGAGCGCTTACGTCTCCGAAGACGGAGAAGAACACATATGTCGGGGAATTCGATAGCAGGAGAACACCTAGGTTACCGATCCTTTTTATGAAGTACTTCAGTTGCGGTGTTCTTCATTTATTTTCAATACTCAACGAATAAATAACCAGGACATGTGTACGAAAACAATCAATGCAAAAAGATCGACCGCAATTCAAGCACACTGCGATTACTGGTGTTTTCTGGACCCTAGCCTACCAAGTACCAATCGCGCTACCCGGCCGCAAAGCGGCACCATGTTTTCGTCAGTGCACACATCATTACCCCAGCTGCATATAAAGCACACGCTGCATGCCAAAGCACTTTGTTTTACAATGATCCAAAAATAAGTTGTTGATCAGTCATGTGGAAAAGTATCGGCCCATGACACGCCATCAGGGCGCGGAATACAAAAATAGGAAAATGAAAGAGCGCGAAAGAAAAGTTAGAAAGAGTCCTAACGGTCGCCAGAGAATTTATAAGAGAAGTCACTCTCGCAGCCTTTCATTAGTTCTAATTGGCAAAATCTACCAGAATCACAGGAGGGGAAAGTGACATGCAGGCGTTCTTACTGATGGGCTCTATGGGGCTACCCATCCATAACGGTAAGCTATAGGATCTATATATTTGGTCAAAAATTCTTGCACGAACTCCACCCTTTCTCGAACAATTGTAACTTTATTAATCACGACTGTATACCAGTAAAATAATGCTGTCGTGATCCGTGATGCATGTCAGACCACTCTGGACTTCAGAAGTCTAGAAGCGGGAAGGAGGGGGGGGGAGGGTGTCGAAGAAACAGGGTCGAAGAAACCCCACCTGATCTCACCCTCTAGCTCTTTCTGACCAGCTAGTTTCCCTCTCCCAGATGCAATTTCAAAGGCCCAAACTGATGAGCAAGCTTTACCATATGAGGCACGCACTGTTACACAGTAGTGCAGTATGGCCAATATTCTTACGTTTCAGGTAAACAACGGTTGCCTGTTTCATGGGTTGAGGACAGTGGAAATGGAAGGGGAGGGGGGGGGGTCCCGGTAAGACTAACGGCAACGACTGAGAGTACACCGCGCACGCATGCACGCCCTAGGGTTCAGGAATCGAGCGTCTGGCGAAGTGCTGAAAGTGCCTAGAGGGTCAGAACAATCACTACCTCCTTGAACGATCTATAAGGCTATAATTGTCTGAAAATTGGTTCAAAACTTCCAGAGAAACCTAATAGAAGCGTGCTACTTTTCAAGAAACTTTCACTATGAAGTTGCCACAGCAACGATCAAAATGTAGCCCTTCACGATTTCCGTAGACCGTAAAGTATCCCAGAAGCGGAGAGATTAACGACAATTCAAGAATTTGAGAAAAAAATCATGATCAAAAGAAAGAAAACAATGTAAAGTGTACCACATGAAGTAACTTGTAATGCGAGACTCAACTTACCAAGGAAAATTGGCATTAGGGTCATGTTCCGCTTGCATTTGCGTTGAAACGCCCGATGCTGCTGCCCCCATAGTTTATCTGAAAAAAATTTCGATGAAAGAATAAGATTTAGGGCATTTATGAAGGAGTAATCGAAAACCAGCATCGATCGAACGAAAGGAATCGAAACGAATGGATTATGAGGACCAGAATGCACATGCAGCTAATGAGCACCCTTCAAAAATAGCGCGCATGTCTGGGACATGGGTTGAATCGATCGATATCGTGCTGCCGCATAGGGCTATCTCAATCTGATAAAAGCCTATTGACACCAAAAGACAGCCCTGGTTGTCAGACGAAAGTGAAAGAACACAACAAAACAAGTTGTGAAATCGTTGTCCAGGGACTTGATTCAGGCGGTTCTTAGAAAAAGCTCGTTCCCCGGAGATTACCTGCGTACAGCTGAGAAACACACATGTAAGCCAAATGGGGTATTTTGTCCGCAGCGCGCTCTGAACTCGATGTTATCTAGAATAGATTTCACGTGACAGATAGAACTAGCTAGCAATTTCTTCCGTCACGCTGTTAGCTGAGTATTAGCGCTGCGTTGTTCGCTGATTAAACAAACAAAAACTGTTAGGTAACGGTAAAGTCGTCCAAGTGTTCAGCGCCATCCGGTAGAAGACAATTACTCTAGAAGTTATATCTTTCGAAACAGAAAAACAGAATGGTTCAAAACCATGGTGCAGCCACAAGAAAAAAATACATGCTCAGGTGAAGACGTGGAAGCGCTGAATAAATGAGAATCGAATTTGCTTATGGAAAATGAAAAATAAGTTCGGAACGTTGAGAACGTTGCCATACTTTGGCTGTAAGGTACCTGATAGATAGTTATGCTGCCAACATTGATTGAGTGTCATTTCACTGCTAAAATCAACCCCTTTTCCTAAAGATGTTTCGCAATTTGAAGCATTTTGTTTATTTTGGCAGAACTCCAATAGTGCAGACGAGACGCGCCGTGCACCGTAGGCGACGACTTTTTGCAGAAAGGCTCGCCCTGCGGCCAGCTCACAATGGTTCGTTCCTTCTAGCATAGAGTGCTAAATAGAGAGTGGTGGCGCCATCTTTTAGAAAGAACAGGTGAACTAAATATTCAGGAAGAACTACTGAGGATGTGCAGTATAATCTATGTTTTGTAATGTAGCAAAACAGTAATGTACAGTAGGCAATATGTACTTCCGAACAGAAAACACAGTAATGTACAGTAGCAGTACTTCTGAACAGACAGCTTAGTGTGGTTCATAGGAAAAAGTGAGTGCTAAAGAAATCAAGTGGAAAAGAGCCATTAGGGGAGGGGGCAGGGGAAAAGTCAAAGTCTAACCGAATTGCAGCTACAAAAATCAACACGAGTTAATGCAGCCAAATGTCCAACAAAAAACCTAAAAGGTAGCAATTCAAAAATTGAAGGCATTTTTTTGCTGAACTACCAGTGGGGCACGGACAAGACAATTGCCTTTTGCCGCATTCGCCGCGCGCAGCGTATCGTGCGTCAATGTGCGGCGAACTGAAAGAATTCGAGCGGACACAAGTCTTCATCGTTGGCGACATTGAATATTCTTCTCCCTTTCTCACTTCAAACTGATGGGCAGGACAACTCGTCCGTCGAGTGCGGCGTCGCCTGCCACGCCCACCAGCGCGGCGTGTTACGAACGTCTTGTCACACAGTCATGTACTCTGATAAAAACTGCACCAAAATGTGTGATTTATATCACTTAATTTTGGGAGACGGGCAATAAAACTGTAATTTGTAGTGCAGTCGCGCGCGGAGTACCATGCGGCAACTTCTCGATATGTATCACTTTGTCAGTTAAGGCAACGAAACTAATACGAACTCAAACTGAGGTGAGGTTAGATGACAGGCGATGTAGAACTCCACGCCCTTCAAATATGCATTTAAACGGGCAGACAGTACAACTCGTCTGTCGGGTGCCCCTATGCTTGCCACGCCTGCCAGCGCGGCATATTACGGTCGTCTTGTCACGCAATCGTATACTCCGACAAAAAATTGCACCAAAATGACGTGATTTCTATCACTTTAGTTTAGGAGACAGTTGTAATCTGTAGTGTAGTCGCGCGCGGCGTACCGTGCGGCAACTTCTCAATATGTGTAACTATGTCATTTGAAGCAACGAAACTAGTAGGAACTCAAGCGGAGGTAAGACTAGATGACAGGCCATATAGGATGTCCCCGCTCTTCGAACACTCACATTCAAACGGTAGCGTGCAACTCGTCTGTCGGGTGCGGCGTTCCTTGCCACGCCCACGAGCGCGGCACATAATGGTTCTGCTGTCACATACCCCTTTATTTTCAGGAATATTGGGCGCAATTCTGTCATCAGTTCCAGCGAAAGTGTCTTTCGCTGGAACTGATGACAGAATTGTGTGGAAGATATAAAGTCTACAGTAAATTACCTTTGTGGTAAAGTGGTCGGGCTTTGAAACACATAATAGAAACGAGGGCACTATTCAGCTATCACTACCCCAGTTTTGCCAAAACAGGGCGGATATTGATCGACTTTTTTCTACGAAAGCGGATTTGGCTGAAATTCGGGTTATAGAGGTAATTCGACCTCCTGAACACGAATATAACATCCATCTGACCTGAAAGTGCATGGCGCCGGCGTATTGGGGCATTTTGGCGCCGGCGCCCGTTGCGCGATCTGTGAGCAGTTTCAGGCCGAGCGGATGTGATATTTTGTATTCGTGTTCAGGAGGTCGAACTACCCCTGGGTACAAGTTTTCAGCGGATTTGGTGATCCAGGGTACTTTGGCGCCGGCGCCTGTGGCGCGGACGCCAGGCATTTTCGGGAGGAACGGATGTGATATTCGTGTTCAGCAGGTCGGATTACCCCTAGAACCCAACTTTCAGCCAAATCTGCCTCCGCAAAAAATCGATCAAGATCCAGCCCGTTTTCGGAAAACTGGGGTAGTAATAGTTGAATAGTGCCGATATCGAGTTTCAACCAAAACAGGAGTTTCAACCAACACAGGGCTAAGCATGAGAGTGAGAAATAAAGTGCACTCGATGGGATCCTCCCTAGTGCTATCCTTGCATACAACGGGATGCACCAGGGGGTAATCGTACGATAACGCTGCTAAGCGATAATATGGATATGGTATAGTGTCCGCTATATTACAGTCATGATCTCTGCAAGTGATAGGGCGTATGAAGCAGCGCGGATCGCAGCGCAACCAGGGCACCCTTTTCCCACCAACGGTGCCACCCTGAGCGCGATGCAGCTTATAGGAGAAGTGATCTGACTGCGCTCCAACCCATGCACTTATCACACGCCCTATCATTTGCAGGATCATGAATGTAGGTTCTTTCGATGCAATACACTGTCTACATTTACGTGTTCTTTTGGAAAATTTTGAGGAACGATACATTTGAGTTTCGAAATTCATCTCAAGAAATTGTAATAATTATCTTTTTTTCTGGGATATATGACACGTTTACAGTCGATAACCTCGGAATCGGACGAGCAGTGTCAGCAGGCATTTAGTGCGCCCACCGGCCCGTTATCTATCACAGATTATTTTCTTCTTGACCCGATCACTTTAGGTAGAGGAAGCAGCCGTGGGTGAGCTTAACTCACGCTCTCTGACGCACACTCGACTGACTATCAGCTATATTGGAACGATAGCCGCAGCGCGCACGGGGAGTTTGCAAGGCTGCGTTCATACTTCGCGGCACTGTCCACCAGCTTTCCAAGCGTCAGCGACTAGGAAAATATAGATATCCATCTAGCGTCCGCCAACGTCTGCTAGCGTCTAGCAAAGTTTGGGAGAGGAGATTATGGCACGTCAGGAGGTAAAGGTAGTTGTTAAATGGGGACATAGGAGGGTAGCAGACTATTGGTGGAGAATATGGGAGTCTAGCTAACAGCTGGTAGAGTATGGGTAGATAGGAGGGTATCAGCTGTCTGCTGCCAGACGCTCGGAACGCTCCTGTCGCGCCATACTGTTCTCTCCCGGACGCTGGTAGACGCTGCTGGACGCTGGTGCACGTCGGCAGACGCTAGACTGATATCTATACTTTTCCAGTCGCTGACGCTGCCAGACGCTCGGAACGCTGGTGGACGTTATTGGTCGTAGTAGACGCTGCCGCAATGTATGAACGCTGCCTAGCATAGCAGTGTAAGAAGAATAGTCACAAAGGTATAAACAAAAAAATACGCAAAAAAGTCTAAAGGAACATCTGCGGCGTTCGAAGCGAGGCCTTATATCCCACAAAACAGGTTAAATCGAATTTATATTGAAAAAAGCTATAGGACAAACGAAGGGCGAAATAAAAACTCCTCAAATGCAACAAAATATCTCACAAGTCTTGAAAGTAGAAAATTTTGAATTACACAAGAGCTCAATACAAATCAAGAATCATCGAAATCAAGATTTCAAAAAGGGTAGAACGTCGCCCAGCAAGTTTGACACTTTCTATTGAAGGCAGTTGGTACAATAAATCCCTCAAGCCGACTAGGATCAATACTCCTGGCAGGGAATTCCGCTACCCTGGGCAGGCGCCGGTTTCTCCGAGGAAGGTGCCCTTATTAGGGCCCTAAGCCCACAAGTTTACGTCCCAAAGCCCGCCACGCCCGCCCGCCCACAAACGGACGACCGTTCCTGCGCTCGTATTCATTCATTTGCTAAGCAAGTTATGAAGCTAAGGGACTGGTATGAAGCGGCCGTGATGCTGCGTGCATACATGGGTACACATATGCAGCCGTATCTTCGGTAGCGGTGATTGGTAAGATGCCTACAGGAAACTCGTCCGAAATCGATTTTCAAGTCACTGAGAACGGAGGCTTTTTCTTTGCACGATTTTGACCGTTTCACTCCGTTTTTCGCCATTTCCCCACTATACAGCGCCCTACTAGCATTTTAGGCCAAGTAGGAAACCATCTTGCCAACTGCCTTCAAAAGGAAGATAGGTAGTATTTGAAGCTGACCAGGAAAGGTCAACAGGTCAGCCTGGCCATTTGCAATGAGATGCACATCGTTGTACCCGTCTTGAGACGGTGAACTCAAAACTATCTTCAAAATCTGCGGAACGATTTCTGAGCGGAGTTATTGAGCTTTTCCTTTACTCCTTTTTCTTCTTACGGGTGCGCTGGCACCGAAGTGTTGGCACCGGTAGCGCGGTTCACAGCGCTCTTCGAAAACAGGTATCGTATTCGTGTTCAGGGGGTCAAATAACCCCTAGGGACGTCACCTTAGCAAAATCTGAGCTTCTGACTCAACTTCGAAAAAATGGGGTATGTATAGTCATGGCTGACTGACAGCCAACAGCGATACTATGACTAGCATACTGATGATGAACTGGTCTTCGAACTGAAATAACTCTTCAGTCATGATTTTCGCAAACACTAGTACCTCGCTTACTTATTTGCGCTGCCTGCATCATTTTCCTGACTATCGGGAGAAAATCCCATTCGGAGACCAGTCTTCGATGGTAGGTGAGCTCCAATCTGATTGGCTGATTACCATGGAACAGCCCACATTTTCCAAGTGAGCTCGAAATATCAGATTCGACTAGAAACTTGTCCCCAGGGGTAATTTAACCGCTGAACATGGATATGATGGTATATTGCCAAAACCCTTGTGACACGTGTTACGAGGAGTACAAGCAGAACAATCTTTCAGGCACAATGGGTCTACATTTTCAAAAAAAAATCAGTTTGCAGGTTCCCTTATAAGGCAGTGCAGGCGATCAGAGATGTCAGAAGCTTTGTCGGCTATGTTCCTGGGCAAATGCAAAAGGAGCCTTCTGCCCCAGAACCGATCCTACGACGTCTCGCCTAAGAAACCCGCTCCTTACCCGTTGCGCTCTACTACCACGTCTCAGCATGACTCCATACATAAATGTCAAGACGCTTCCACGTTTCCTCGCAATAGCATGTGAAACGACCACGCGGGGATAAAACCCTTCATAACTCCGCTCAGAAAATCGTTCCGCAAATTCTAAACGTAGATTTGAGTTCACTGTCCCAAGACGCGTACAACGGTTTGCAGTTCATTGGAAATGGCCAGGCTGACCTGTTGACCTTTCCTGGTGAGAAGAAAAGACCGCTTCAATTGCAAATTCTTTCTTTTTGATGAAAAAGCCGTGGGAATTTAAATATGAACTAAAGAGTGCTAGTTGATATGAGAGCTTTGAAATGACTGGAATAGGATAACCGCATTGTGGAACGAAGTTAGGGTGACGGCTCGTGGCGCCGCTCAAACGCGCGTAGTCAGAGGTTAGATCTCGGGTTGTCTCCCAGCCATCGAAGTCTTACATCCCTCCGGGACGAAAGGTATTCAAAAAATAGCACTACCTCCTTCACCGATCCGCTTGTCAATAACCACGCCAGATTTGCGCCGAATTCCAAATATTACTTAGCACTCCGGAAAAAGTTTGACCTCCCCCCCCCCTTGGACACAAACATCACCTGGAACCGAAACTGCCTGACGCGCGACAGGGCGTCGGCGCTCAAACACACCTTATCCCTGAGACGGAGAAGGCGCGGCATTTGAACATGGCACAGAATGGGTTATCCGTGGGATATTTCATTTCGAGATTGTCATCGCTCTGCGTTGGACAGAGGCAGACGGCAATCGTCTCAAAATGAAAATGTCTTTCCAAAAGCGTAGCACCACCACGTCTAGATGAAGTACGCAGCCACGCCTACTACAACTCAGGGATTTCAAGTGTACTTCAGAACAATGAATAAGCAGAAAACTTGTTTTCAGGGCAACCACACAAGCGCAAATATCACATTCCCTCAAAGGGTGAAAGGGGCTAAGCACGGGGTGAGAAAAACGCGGGGACACGTGCTTTCCTTCTCATCAGTACCCATCCTTCTAGATAATCATCTCTTCATTCCCTAATGTTGAGCCTACTCTCAAGGACTAATTTGTACGGAATTCAAAGTTGTGGTAGCAGACTTCACAAGGCAGTGCAGGGTTAGTAGTTCCAGAAAGTCAGTATGATATTGACTGGATGTTGAACGCGTGGCGCATCCCAAAGGGATCGACCAACGCCAAAGGATTTATTGTTTATCCTTTGCTGGATTGTGGTTATTGTATGGTGTTTCGCATGTTTGCCTTGCGTGACCTTGTAAATAAACAATGTGCAATTATAAGGACAATATTAGGGAACATATACTGAGTCATGTACATACAGTGTAGTAAAGAATATAGATATAAAGTGAAAAATATATAAAAACAAAGGAAATGGTGTAAATAATGCGAAAACAAATGAATGAGAGAAAAGAAAAAATAAAAAAATAACAAAGCAATAAAAAATGTAAGCAGTAAATTAACAAGAAAATAGAAGTAGCAACGAGAGCGGAAAACATCAAAAAGGCAAATAGATGGACGTTGCCCCGGACTCGGGGCATAGAAGAGGGCTAGCACGAAATCCGCCGTATGAACACGACTGATACTCCTCTTAAGGAGTTACTGCAC